TATAACTTAGAACTCCACTCGATCCATTGGTTGTGTGGAAAAGTGACATGTTTCATTGAGCCGTATGTTCAATAGATTGAAAGCCCAAAGGCTAAGTGGCGTGGTCAAATTCAATGCCTTATTGTGCTGGTCATGGAACTAATGTTGGAACATGCCTCTGATGCACTCGATCAAAATGGTTATTGGCATTTTTCTTTCCTGCCTCAAACAAAAGTTAATACACTCCGCAATGTTGGATGTCATGAGCTTGTAACGCCTTACCGGTGACCATGCACATGTCCATCTCTTAAGGCCTAATATCATAAGGTTGTCGTAAGCAGGTTTGTAAAGCTGTTTCAACTGATTCATATGTCTGTTAAAATCAGCAAGGCTGTAGCAGTTGGTGGCCAAGGTGAAAATCATAGCAACATCTTCTCATTTGAACCTATTTTTAACATTTTTCCCTAAGTGGTAATTGTATAGATCATGGTACGCATCCATTAACTCTTTCTCAATTGCATTCTTAATGCCAAGATGCTGATCAGAAATGAACATTTTATTTTCAAGACAACCAATCGCACGACGTAATTAGATAAGAAACCACGACCAAGACTCTTTGGCTTCCATGTGGCCAATGCCAAATGCAGTTGGATATATCTGCTCAATCGCATCTTTGCATACTATAACAAATAGAATACCCTTGAATCTACCTTTCAGATGTGAACAACTACAAGTCGCATTATAGCATTGAACCCCCGAAAACATGCCCTGAACACTCAGAAACAATATTTGAATCGTTATTCCTCATCCATAGTGACAGCCATGACACTACCAAGATTTTTACATTCCCATATATGGAAATATGAGGGGAGGAGTTGGAATGACTCTTTTAGGGGACCGAAAACAAGACTCTTCGCATACTCCTTTGCTTGCCAAGCTTTACCATATAGGGATAGAAATTCCCATTTTTGATTCATCTTTTCTATTATTTCCTTAGGTCTTAATGGTGTTACATTATTTCCTTATAGCTTAGTGGAGATAAGCTCACCAATTAACCTTACATTTGTAGCTCGATACCCACCTTGCAAACCATAAATAGTATATATGTGTATCATCTAGAATGTCTGAACTTGCCAATATTTTCCCTTAGGCAACTTTGTGCATACAAAGCAAACTTGCATGCCTTCTCCTTATAAGCAACCTCCAAACAAGCATGACATAAGTTTTTAACTCTAATATCGAAATGCTCTTTTAATGTCAACATGCTCAAAGCTCATTTTAATTCAGCTTTTAATGGAAACACTTTTCGCGATATAAGTGGTTGTCTATTAATCTGGACTCCTCAGTCGTAACTGTTTAGAAGGATATAATATCTACACCTGGAATAATCCATTGATAAGATACCCCTATATTTACCCTCTCTTAATCACTGTCATCAAGCGAATGAATGCTGTTCTCCAGTACAATAGGGTTGTTGTAAATAGGGTTAACGCATTCAGCATCTTCCAATTCAACAATTGTGGCATGGTCATCACATTGAACCTTTTCTAACACAACAGTTGTGGCATGTCTTGTACTGCCATTTGCATGAATGCAATCCAGAATATTGTTGTGCTTACCTTTATCGTCCTCTGAACAATCATCATGTTCGCTAATGTAATCATCTTAATAATATTTTGTAACTCATCATTCCAATCCGCCATGTCGTCCTCTTCAATAACATCTTCAATTTATCATATGCATTATCATCATACGTTAAACGTGATTTCCATGGTTGTTTGTTAGGAAATGCATGGTGTGGTATATCAGAATAATTAACATTTTGTTGTGGGTGATTACTATGTTGGATACCGTGTTCATGTGGAATATCGTTTGCATTTCATGCCTTAAATTGTCACAAACACAACAACTGCCCTCTTTTCTAGTAGAATACTTGCTACATCTTCATCATCCCTGATAACTACATGCGAAACCCCTACGACATGATCGAGCAATATATGTTGCTCGATTTTGTTATTATGTGACTTGACCTTAACAACATTTTCAACCAGCTTCACTAGGCCCGAAAATGACAAATCATTCCCAACACCCCTCACTCGGATCTCATCACCTTTGTAAGTGTCATCAACCCAATGACCACTGTATGTAATCATAAGATTCACATTTGGCAGGTCGTTGAAATTTAATAGAAAATAAGTATTACAATAAGATAATTTATGAAAAATTACCCTTTAATGCATAAAAACCACTTATGCAATGCCTAAGTCACGGAATAACATAAAGTCAGTCTCGCAATGTCTAACACACATTCACACAATACCTAAAAACTAGTAAAGAAAAACCTCAAAACAAGAGATAAATTACACAAGTCATGCACCGTTAGTTTCACAATACCTAATAATACGTCAATCAATGCTTAACATCCACTCACGTTATGTCAAAATAACTAGTCACATATTGACCCAATGTTATGCAATTCATAAAAACCAATCATGTAGTGCCTAAAAAGTAGTCAATGAATGTCTCAAACTAAAATATGCATTGCACAATTCACGTAACACCTACAAGCCAGTTTCGCAATACCTAATAATAAGTCACTCAATGCCTAATATCCACTCACGTTATGCCAATATAACCAATCATGTAGTGGCCCAACGTTACGCAATACATAACAACAAGTCACGGAATACATAAAAACCAATAACACAATACTTAAAAAGTAGTCAAGTAATATCTTAAAACAAAATATGCATTGCACAATACATGCAGCGCTTATAAGTCAATCTCACAATACCTAATAATAAGTCATTCAATGCCTAATATCCATTCACGTTATGCCAACATAACCAGTCATGTATTAGTCCAACATCACACAATACATAACAAGAAGTCACAGAATACATAAAAATCAGTCACGTAATGCCTAAAATGTAGTCAAGAATTGTCTTAAAATAAGATATGCGTTACACAATTCACGTAGTGCCTATAACCCAATTTTGTAATACCTAACAATAAGTTACGCAAAGCATAACATCCATTCACGTTATGCCAAAATACCAAATAACACATTGACCCTACGTCACGCAATACATAAAAGCTAGTCACGGAATGCATAAAAACTAGACATGTAATACCTAAAATCTATTCAAACAATGCATAATATCCATTCACACAATGCATAATATCCATTCACTTAATGTCTATAAACAAAATAATATTCCAACTTTTGGCATCATACCTTTGCTTCTCTTATATAAATAGAAATTAAGAAATTATGGTAAGTAACCAAGTTATTCAATATAATAGAAATTAAACACAGTAACTCATTTCATGGAAAATATGTGATAAATTAATATTTTTATTCATTAGCTGAAAAAAAGCAGATGATACAACATATGAACCATGGTTCATTTCTTTTTAATCTCATATACTATTTCATAAATTTCAGTTAGAATCTTGTTATTGCCTAAAATTTCTGTCTTCAGGACTTCTGTCCTAATCAGCATCTTATCCATCAACCCATGCATGTCCTTCTCCATGTTCTCAATTTGGTCCATCAACTTAACGAAATATGCTATAACATTGTCGAGGATACCTTCTTCTTCAGTGGTAACCCCTTTCTCAGTTTCGCATTTGGAATGATTGAAAGCCATGAGAATTTTGAGATTTTCCTTTAGATGATTTTGATTCAAATGGATAATGGTTCCTTTTATTTATAGGCATGAATGCTGACTATTGGAAGAGTGTTCAATGGTTTTAGGCTTGTTTTCTAATGAATATGGTTAGTTTGTAAATCGATGCATTAAGTGCTTTAAAGAGAATTTCAGAGTTCTGTGTCAGTCGAATTTGAATGGTTTTCTACATTGATATAAATGGAATTAAGGGGATTGAATTGGTTATTAAGTATTCTTAATTCTCTTGTAATTTTACAAAATTTTTTATTAAGGGGACCGAATTAGTTGATAATCAGTTTCAACCTTAGGTAGATAAAACAATTCAATTACTAAAAACCAATCACACAATGCCTACAAACTAATCAAGCAATTCCTAAAACCTTGTCACGGAATGCACAACTCACGGAATTTCTAAAATATAGTCTCGCAACACTTTTTATCTAATCCCACATTGTCTAATATTCAGTCATGTAATGCTAAATAAATAGGTTACCATTCCTAATAATCAATCAGGCTATGCCTAACATCCAGTCACACACCTTAATATTCAGTGATGCAATGCCTAATAAATATTCACGTATCGCCTGTAAACTAATTGATTTCGCTACTCTCAACCAGATTTAAGCTTCCAAAATCATATAATTTACCCATCAACTTTTGTGTTCTATGAATATAAAAAAATAAACCCAAGAACCCATAACAACTAACTTAATGTCATTTATGCACTTTGGGCTGGTGAGAAAGTTGGATGGTGATATAGATCTCAATGGCGTTGGAGAGTTGGATGACGAGATATAGACCCTGATGAAGTTAGAGAGTTGGACGGCGAGATAGTTAAATCGAGATTTAATTTTGAATTTTTTATTTGAATGACAAGAAAGGAGAAAAAAACCAAAACCATTTAAGTTGGATTAAATGATTTAAAAGGTATTCTTATTATGTCATGTCAAAAATTATCTAAAAATAATTTTTGAAGTAAATTTATTAAAAAGGATATTTTTCATAATTTTCTCAACAAATTATCTTTTTATTGTTCTTTTGTAGAAAGCTAACGATCTTCTTCTAGTAAAATGACAATAGGAGAATAGCCTAGGAAGTTGAAACTTTTGTCTATGCTCTGGACATGGAACAAAGTAAAGTGAGCATATTTTGGGCCCGATCTGGAGCCACCACTCATCGCATAATCCAACCATCGCCACATAGAATAGATGATCAAAGACATATATTGGCATAACCGATATGGTAACGGTCTTATAATTATTTTTTAACCACATTTTTTAAAAAAATTTTCAATTTATTATTAAATATATATCACTTATAATAAATTAATAAAATTTATCTTCAATCTTTGAAACTAAAATACCATTCTTATTTCTCCGACTAATAATTCATGTACAAATCTCATCTGATCATGCCTCAAAATATTGAAACATCTACTTGTATATATTTATCTAAGATCCAATAACACATACGATAAGAAAACCAGGTTAAGGGATAAAGTCTATATATTACAAACAAAAACAAGGGTTATCAAGGCACAAGTATTTGCCATTAGTGACAGCTATTTTCACCTTGCCAACTCCACACTATGTCCCTAAGGGCTGGCCTCATGTCTTCCTCGCAAAACCTGTTGTACTCGAGAGTGTCACCAGCGGACTTGGAGAACTCCACCACCGCTACCTCGGGCACTACCTCGAAAACCTCCGCCGTCACGGCTAGTTTTCCTTTCCTTCCCTCCGTTTTCCCTTGCATTTTAACCTTGAATTCCTTCATAGTCAACACCCTGAAATTCAACTTCTTTGCCATGGATTCAAGCCTTGCCATGATCGCTGAAGCTGAACATTTGGATGTAAATAGAGAAGCTGGCTTCGTTTTGCTCTCGAACAAGTTTGACAAGTCAAATCCTGATGACATCGACGATACTAATTCAAACGCGTTGTAGAAAGGTGGTGATGATTTCGTCGTTGCCATTTCCATCTCTCCACTGCTCTCAATGTCACCCTCGTCGCCAATTTCTGCCGATGACTCTTCAGTTGAAACTACAACAGCCTTTGTAAAACCCTTTCGGAACCAGGGGTTTCGCATTATTCCTGGAATTGTAATCCTCTTTACAGGGTCAGCAACAAGCAGCTTCGAAATTAATCTCCTTGCATCGTTTGAAATCCAGGGTGGGAACTCATATTCTGCCTTGAAAACTTTCCTGTACATCTTCATAACATTTTCAGCTTGGAAAGGCAAATACCCTGTCAGCAAAACAAACAGAATAACCCCACAAGACCAAATGTCAGCTTTGGCTCCATCATAACCTTTCTTCCTCAAAACCTCCGGCGCAACGTAAGCTGGAGTGCCACATTGCGTGTGCAGCAAACCATCGTTTCGGAGCTGTTCTGGCAAAGCAGAGAGGCCAAAATCAGTGACTTTCAAGTTCTCATTCTCGTCCAATAGCAAATTCTCTGGCTTCAAATCACGATGGAACACGCCACGACTGTGACAAAACTCTACTGCACTAACCACTTGCTGAAAGTACTTCCTTGCTGAATCCTCCTTTAACTTTCCCTTAGCTACCTTAGCAAACAATTCACCTCCTTTGACGTATTCCATTACGAAAAAGATTCTTGCTTTGGTTGCCATGACTTCTTTTAGCTCAACAACATTTGGGTGGCGCACCAACCTCATGATCGCAATTTCTCGCTTTATCTGCTCCATGAAACCTTCTTTCTTGACTTGGTCTTTGTTGATAACTTTGATGGCTACACTCTCTTGAGTTGAAATGTTTTTCCCGTAGTAGACCTTGGCAAAGGTGCCTTGGCCTAAAACCCTCCCCATCTCGTACTTTCTAAAGATGATATTCCTGGTTCCATTCTTCTTGCTGATGCCTTGGTTCTCAGCTTGCTCTTCCATGTCTCAAGTAAGCTTCTTCCTAATCAGGCAAAGGAAACATTTTCCTGACCATAAAGAAAGGTCATTTGGTTCACTAAAATAAGTGGGATTTCCCAGGGATGTAAAAGAAGATACGGCCAGAAGAAGTTTGGGGTTTGTGGTGCATAATCACAAGGACGGTAAGGGTGAAATAGAGGAAAATTGGTGGGGAAAAGCATGATGTTTGGAAGGGAAGAAAACAGGGGAGAGAGTGAGAGGAAGAGAGCTGTAGTTGATTGTCCCGTATCCGCTGGCGGACATGGTATTGTTTTGGGGGAGAGTGAACTCTGCAAAAAACGGCAAATCACACAGACTGGAAATATCTGAGAATTTAAATAATCGGAAATCCTGCCAATAGGAGAAGGGACACGTGAAATATTTGTGGGGTAAAGTAATTTATGACTTTTCTTGGATTCAGGTCGGCATTCCAAGCGTGAAGCTTCCTCCTGTGTAGAGCCGTATTTGCCAAATCAGTACCCAATTCTCAAAGATTTTGGCACAATCTTAGATGCATCAGGGCTGGGAAAAAGACACAGTGATTCTGGCGGTGGCTGATGAAGTGGGTGAACTTCGCCTCACAATTAACTTGTGAATCTGGCTCGATCGGTAGCAATCCGGTGACAGTTTTTGCTATCAACGTGGTGCCTGTTTTTCTCGATTAAAGCTCACACCATGGTTTCCAAGGGTCCAAAAAGAGAGAGAGGTGGTTGAGATGCAACGAACAAAGGGTCCAATGGCTTTTCGAGGCAACCGCAGCTTCCCACTGCACTAGAGTTTAACTAGTCTCTTATATTGTATAATGTCATATTTAATAATAAGTCTAAGAGTGCATTTTCCCTTTTAGGACTAATAAATGTAATAAAAGAAAACGACTGTGTTTGTTTTTTTCTCCTAGGATTCCAAAATGATAAAACTTTTAATAGTAATTAGTTAATGCACCACACAATTCTCCTAAATCTTAAGATTACTAGAATATGGACATTACGTGAAAACTTAATGAGCAATTGCTTTGTATTCTTGTTTAATAAATGGACAAAATAACTTTTCAGCACGTAATTGGAATTATGCTATTTTATTGGCCCAAGAGTCATGGTTTGCTTTTCATGTTACAGCTGCAGATGACAATTTTTTGCAGCTAAAAAGGATTTTACATTAATGTCGTAATCTGTTATAATAAGAGAAATTTTGTATTATGAAATTATATTTATTTATAATTACATATACAAATGCTTTAACAAACAATATTATAGCATTAAATTTAACCGGATACTGTAATCTAAGTAAGCAATAATATTATCTCTTCCTCTCCGTTGAGTATGTCCTCGTTTTAGTGGTGACATGATTAATTATGTAAAAGACATTTTGCATCCCATCTATCAAACATAAATTATATCTAGACTAAATTAAGTATATTTTATTATGATTTAATCTCTCATATTAAAATTAAACAATGAATTTTATCAATTCAATAAAACAATTTTTTGCAATAATATAGAGTCAACAAAAGAAATAAATTATTAATGTTTGGAAGCCAGGGCAATCCCCTCCTGCTTACCTCAATTTTTGTAGGGCTACGTGTCAAATCCCAAATCTTATCAGCTTACCTATTAGGATTCTCGGTTCTTACTTCTTAGCTTTTAAAAGAAAAAAGATAGAGATGAGTAATTAAAATTTGATATCAGAAGGTTACTTATTATTTTTATTTAAGACAAGGTGAACCAAAAATGATAACCTAGATGTACTTAATTTGTTGTAATAAAAATGGTAATAGACAATCGATCCTAATTATTTGTCTTTATTTAATTTTTATGAAAACTAAAAAATTATTTTTAGTGTATTTTATATAAAAATTTTGTTTTTTTTTATAAAATTAATGTACCATGATTTTTAATGCTAAAAACATCAGGAAAAGCTAATAATTTTGAAATAATACATATATATATATATAAAGAGAGAATTAGGTATTAGAAAAGACTTAATTTTAGAATATCCAAATAAGAAAAAGATGGATAAAGAAATGAGATTTTTCCCCCACATGATAAGTAACTTCTCTATAAGATTGTCTTTTGGTTTGGTCATCTTCTCATGTCTTTTGAAGTGAATAGATTAGACATTATCATTTTATGGTTTATAGCTATTAAACCAAGGGATTGTTAAATTTATGCATGGAATTAAATTAACATACTAGTAAAAATTGAATGAATTATTTAATTTTTTTTATATATGTGATATTGAATTACATGAAAAAATAATTTTCTTTTATTTTATAAGCGATAATTAATAATTTATTAAAACAGCCACTCAAAGTGAACTAAGATGACTACTAACCCACCATTGGATTAATTAAAAAACTTATAAACTTAAGTTGATCGATATGCCCTAACCACTTATAATGCCAACTTGGTGAATGCATGATAAATTTCAGCCTTCTCTTTTTTGGTCCCATTGAGGAGGACAAATTTGAAATATACACATATAGAGATAATTAATTTAATTTTATATTGTTGGTATTATAAAATGGCAAAAGACTCAGTTCTCACAACCACCCCACAAACATGAAATTTAAAAATTGATTTAACTTTCCATTGTTGGTATTATACAATAAGCTAGTGGTCTTCGTAAAAATATTCCTTGAGATAAAAAAACAGGTTAAGATAATTATCACTTGAGATTGTTGCCCCTAATCTGATCAAACGACTTTTCCTCACAAGAAAAGAACAAATTGGTCTTAGCTTACGTTTAGATATTAGTTTGAGAAATAAATATTTGAGTTTTCACCTTATCAGATTGTCTTCAATTGCACTAAAGTATTCAATACCATATATAGCACTTTTATCTTGACTTGTATCGGAATCTACATCCGCAGCCCAACTTTTATTTGCTTAATCTTTCTCTTCATGAAGTCCAACGTCAATTTTTCTTGGGAAAATATCAAGAAGACAACTATTACATGTGACAGGGACCTAGACCAAATCCAAACATAAGGCTAACCTTTCTATGATCAACTTCGTTGTAGATGAGGCAGATAGACTAAGGAAAAGTTGAAAGCTACTTCAATGATTGTTATTATTATTGATTTTGAGAAACTAGAGATAAGGTCGAATAATTCCAAGGAGGCCGAGCATCAATGCTTAGAAAGTTTGGTACCTGTCTCCAAATCCAAGTCTTAAATCTCCCTCAGGGCGTGGAAACCAGTTAAAAAAGGGTCCAAAGCTAGAAGTGATGGCGGCGGCATTCTGAAGCAGTCATCCTGGAAATGACGAGGAAATATTTAAACATGAATAAGAGGGTAGACGGAAGAGACTTCTGTAAATATGTTAGGAGCGAGCGAATTTGCTCTCACTATATCAATTCCGTATTAACAGAGAATTCTATATATATATATATA